GTTGTTAATCTTGTAGTCTAGTTGCTTGTCGCTTGCTTCCATTAATCTAGCTTGTTGCCTCATGGTCGCAAGCCCTTTCCCCTTTTTGTTGTCATCTGAAAAACAACTTGCTGTTCTAGCCTTTCCCACCTCACCTTGCATCTCCGCTTGCCACCCCACTTGCTGTCCCTGCTGTCCCAATCTCCCCAACCGATACTCCTATCCCCTTCGCTGTGTTGCCACTATTTCTCTGTAGTTCCACTCCTTCCCTATTTTGTCACCACCTTTCCAAGCCCCTAATTGCCACTACCACTACTCAAGATTTTGTTGTGTTGCCACTATTTCCTTGCAGTCCCGCACCATACATACTTTGCCGCCACCTTTTCAAGCCCTTAAGGCCACTACCACTACTCAAGCTTCACTCTAATTGTGTGTCGTGTGTCGTGTGTCGTGGTGTTGTTATTTCCCATTTTAGTGTGTTTTTGGTTGTAACAACATATTTGGTTTTTTCAAAAATAACATTTGCTTTATTTATTATCGTTTGGGTTAACTTAGGTATCATTTGGTCCTAGAGTTAGCCTAACTTTAGTCCTAACTTAGGGTCCCCTCGCTGCCCCCACCCCCCTCCCACCCAAAAAATAAAATCAAATAAATCCCCCTCTTTCACTCAAATCATCCTTAACCCTACATCACCTCTACCTACTCCCTATACCCTAGTCACACCGCCTAAGAGATAATTGTTCAAGATCTGAATGAGAGGAAATCTCACAATGCCGTTTATGAGAAATTCGCTAAAAGATGTCCGAGAACCTTCTAGGATGTGCAGTGCAAAATCCTCCAACTGTAATAGGAGCTTAACACCTTCAAGAGAAGGCAATTTGGATGGGTCACCTGTATCCACAACGGTAACTTGCTAGAGCGAAGGAATGAAGTGAATCTCGTCCACCATGCGGATTCCGCAGATGAAGAACCTCTTCCTTGAAGAATTGACCTGAAATATTTGAGAAACTAGGATTTTGAAGTAACAACAAATTTGCCTCATTTTGACAGTTACTTGAATCCAGATGATTTCATCGAGTGACTTCAATTCGGGGAAATTTTTTTTTGAAGTACCAACATGAATCACCAAACAATGATAAAACTAACTGCCAGTAAGTTAAAGAAGTGTACAAATTTATGTGGAAAAAATTGAATCTCATACGTCAGCATGAGGAATAAAACAAGGTCACTGTCTGGTCCAAAATAAAGTTGGTGATGCAACACTAGTACCTATTAGTTCACTACGTACTAGATATTTAGACCTAGCTTCAAAAGTGGAGAGACCGCATTACCAGACACCGTCATATTTTACAGGCATGGTTCAACCCAAGGATCTTATAGCCAATGTACACCTAGAGGGACATCCAAGTTGACCCCGTCTGAGGAGAAATTGATTCAGAGCAGTGAACATGTTGAGCGAACCTATATTCCTAAAATTTTCACAACCAGAAAGTGTTTTAAGTGCCACAGATTTGTGCATATTCAATCAAATTGCATAATCAGAGGAATGATCTATTTCATCGAGTAGGGTGTTGAAGGAACGATAATGATATAGTAGACATTGAAGAAGATGATAACATAAAGGAGGAGTATTGGCTTTCAACTGATGAGGGATAGATGGACATAGTTGCAGGTGAGCTTATGAGAAAAACTCTAACCGAATTAACAATGGTTATCCAAGACGGGCTTGAATTCGAGGAATCAACACCAGAGGCATGAGAATCCTAGATAATAGAAATTCAGGCTTTTCAGATATATAGACTTATTCTTGAGTTGCTCCAACCAAGGGAAGTTCAACATGCCAGAGATGGAGCTCTTTCGTGCTACTTCTGGAAGAGTTGGAGTTATTTAGATCTTAGTTTCAATTTAGCAGCGTACCCACCAACAAATGACTAGACAAGAGGGATAAACCAAAGCTTTGCAAATTATTTTAGGTGCTTGTTAGGAAAGAAAATTCTTCAATGGGATCTATGTCCTATCTGAGAAGAAAAAGTGATATCTCCTGAGTGATTGCTAATGAGAGTGGCGCAATCTGCCACTGTTTTGTTCTGGAGTTGATTTCGGCTCACATACTTGTTTATCATATACATTCAGCTGAGCAATAGAAGTGGAAAGGCCAGTTTAGAGATGTAGTTGCTCAAGACCTGATTTGTTAGAATACTCGTTTATCTACCGTGCTAGCTCAGATTGTGCCAAAAGAGAATGAATATTTATTCTACCAGGATGTGCTTTGGAATGAGCTCCTACAGGATTGACTTATCGGAAGATTGCAACACCTTCGCCACCTTCAATGTATCTAACTTGATTCCATATTATGAGGAAACAAAAGTTTTGAAGGATGAGATTGAAGCTCTCTCCCAACCCTAAGAGACTGATGCGGCAACGCTTTGCTTCAAACGCAGAATGCGAGGCGCACAACTTTCATGATTGCGTGAGACGGGGAGATGGACCAAATCAAGGTTGAGTTTCATTTTTATGCATTATTTTTTATTATCCTTCATTCCTTTTTAGTGATTTCCTATATTTGTTTTGTATTAGGGTTTGAAAGTCAGTTTTTCTTGTATTTTGTAGTGGGACAACTGCTGGCGTCTCTTCCTTTTGAGGCTCGTATCCGATGAATTGAGTGGTGTTTTGGCTTTATATTTCTCTCGAGGTGGTGATTATCGTCCATATCCCCTTCTGCATATTCTCCTCGACACTTCCGGCAGCTCTCCATCTCCTTAGCTGTCACCAAACTACACTCGTTTTGCTGTTTTTCACTATTTTCCAATTCCAGCCTTTCTTGCTCTCTGCCACCACCCTGGACAGCTGTCCCTTGCCTTGCTGCAGTCGCCCGCTGCGCCCGCTGACCGAGACAACAAGCTTTACTGGTAATTATGCAGTCCAGGCCCCCGCCACATGCTTCCATCAATCCAGTCTACTGCCTCGTGGCTGCAATCTCTTTCTTTTCGCCATCGTCATTCAGAAAACAACAAACCTGTTGTTGTTTTCCTGCTGTCCCCTGGCTGTTGCAGCCTTTCCCACCACATCTCGTAGCTCCACTTGCCACCCCACTTGCCGTTCTCGCTGTCCCAACCTCCCTAACCAATACTCCTATGTTCTTTCGCTGCATTGCCACTATTTCCCCGTAGTCTCGCATCTTCCCTTTCTTGCCACCACCATCCAAGCCCCTAATGGCCACCAACGCCACTCAAGCTCCATCCCAATAGCGTGCCGTGTGTCGTGCTGTTATTTTTCTCATTTCAGTGTGTTTGGTTTTAACCGCCCCAGTTTCTTTCTTTGTAATATTATTTGCTTTACTTATTGTCGTTTGGGTTAACTTCGGTATCACCTTTGTACTTCTTATTTTTTAACAATACATATTTTGAAATTTAGGGTGTATATTAACATGGACCCAACAATTTTGTATTCTTCCTTTATCTTGTATGTTGGTTTGCACTAAATATATGAAATTTTTTTATTTTATTTGAAGGTTTAGGATGTTACTCACGGTGGATTGTATGCCTATCAACTCCAATAATTATTCTTATAAGAATTGTTTGTAGTCATGTTGGCCATAATGTAGAAAGTAAACTCAAGATATTTTCTACATATAGTTTGATCAATTTTATCTAGTTAGTTTGGTGAAGGATATAAATGAAAGAGAGTTACTAAACTGGCAGAGGAGGTTGAAATACATTTGCAGTATCCTCTAGATCTTCAACATACACGTGCTTTATCTAGAATTTAGAATGCAAATGCTTTGGTTGTCATCATACTTTAGGAGTTCTTATTCAATCAATGCCATAGAAAATTGAATTCTTACATGACGATGGCGAAATAGTAGCACAAACTCAACATTATGATTTTGTATATGATAACTTGATGGTGTTGGCTATATGGATAAACAGAGTCAACTTATGGAGTTGTCAATAATAAAGGAAGTTGTGGAACCTATATCTGTATCGATAGGGTTTGAAAAGCAACAATAGTGATTGGAGGCTCATCAAATATAGTAACGATCCCAAGGAAAATGTGTTGTTCGTGACATAGCTCAAGTGCATCTTTATACATGGTTGTGAAAGTGATCGTAAAGCTGTTTCAGATTTTTTTTTTTTTTTTGAAAGTTGTTGCACGTATTATAAATATTTTGTTTTTGAAAAAAGGTGGACAATTTTTTTAATCACTACACTTCAGCAATTTTAGTTCTCAAAGATAGCATCGCACCACAGAAATTTCTATACACTAAAAAAGAATAGCCAAATGGATGTGTGGCAACTTTCCGAAAGCCAAGCAATGAGATATATGCTTAGATTTAATTGCATCATCATGCCCAAGCTGAAGCACAAAATGATAAGGTGATGGGTTGTTGGAGTTGGTGGTACATTAAACATGAAATAATATATATATATATATTTATATATATATATATATATATATTATGAGTTGGGTGAGATAAGGCATGTGAAGGTTGCTTTTTGCGAATGGGTATATGGGAATGATATGGAACTGCGAGGGACAAAATTATGGGAACAATGAAGACTTTAGTACAAAATGATGCAAAGTGGGGAAGCTGAATAGAACTCAAAATCTATTGGGAGAGTGGAAGAAAGGGGAAAAGGAAGGAGACTTTAATTTCAATTTTTGTTAATAAAGTGATCCAAATCATAGGCTAGTAGGAATGTCTATTTATAGAAATTTGGTTACAAAAATAAGATAAACATAATCAAACCTATATTATACGATTCTTGGTATGTTAAAATGAATCATAACATTATCCTAAATGATATTTATTGCTAATTTCAGAGAAATTTTATTCAAAAATTATAATACAATCTAAAAAACTAAGATAAAGTTTTAACAGACCTGAACCTGATTGCTGTGCGGCTTCTACTATCTAATTTTTGTTGATGTTTAATTTCATTTTGGAAGTATTATTGATGGTAATTCGAATGCTGGTTCTCATCATTGGATATCAGTTTTAGTTTTCATGTGATGAACAGATTCTCTTACAATATTTACCAAATGATCGCTCATTTTGGCCACATGAATTGGACAAGAAGAGGTCTCAATACAAGTCTTTTAAAGACGAGCTTCTGCAAAATCCTGTACGTTCTAAATATAATTTTAGCATCCCATATGTTGATATAGCTTTGTGTATGATTGTAGAAAAATTATTGGTCATCCCGTCGTGGTATATAGTGTTACATTTTTCATTGTATAAAATTTTAAAGTATTTGTTGGGGTTCTAAAAGTTTGTTTTCTAGTCAGTCAGATATCACACGTAGGATGGATGAATCAGCACATGTTAAACATGAGGAATTGAATGTTGAATCCAGGGCCCTGCTTCAAAGGTCAGAGATAACTCACGGAGAACATCCTCTTAGCCTTGGATCAACTAGTGTGTGGAACCAATTTTTCCAGGTATTATTTGTTAGTCATGTTTGCAAATTTTAACCTCAAAGTTTGCTATAAATTGTCTTGAAGTTTTAGAGTCGCTGGATTTTAAGCCCGTCACGGCAGTTTTTTTATTCTTCTGTTACGTGGTTATATAAATGATCAGTACGTTGTAGTATTCATGAGTTGGTGAAATTTATGCTTGATTTACTTCTTGATGAATTTTATATGCACAATGCTGCCTACATTTATTTGTTACTTGCATTAGCTCCTCCACTAATTCTAATTTGTTAGAGCCTAAACCCTCATATATTGTGTTCACCCTTTTTTGGAAGCAGCTCAGGAGCAATGATTAGGTTTCTTCCATGCTTATCTTTTTTTCATAAATTGATGCACCTGAATTATTTTTTAAATGTGTCTGGAGTCTTATCAGATAATAGCTTTCACGGATCAATATATCATGACTTGTTGTGATTTTAAGTTCATATGAGACAATGTTTGCCTTTATATTTCCTCTCTGCTATGCATATTTCTTGCAGTTTTTGCCATGCATCCATTAGTTATGTCCCTGCCATTTTCTTAACTTCGTACTAATTTCTGCCTGATAAACCGCATTGAGCCTTCCATTTAGTTTTTAGCCACAGTAGAATGTAAATTGTTATTGGCGATGCCTCCGTAAATTTTATAAAAAGAGCAGTGTATTGTTGTTGGGGGCAATTACATACATAGCACACCCGAAACATTGTTATTTACAAATCTAGCACGCTTCAAAATTCATGATAAAACCCCAATCAATATTTTTCATTTTTGTCAAATTCTCAATGACTTGATCGTGGCACGAGTAAATTCATGGATTCGGTGGTTCAAAAATATCATCTTGGGTGCTAGATTTTGTAAATAGCAATGTTTCGGGTGCTATCTATGTAATTTTCCCGTGTTTTTTTATCAGGAATCTGAAATAAAATTCTAGAATTAATCTCAGCTTACAACGGTTGCTTGCTTGAAGAATTGAAATTTGTTTAAGCTTTACTAGGTTATCAAACTTGTTTTTGTGAACATTGATGGATGCTTTAAATTTTAGGAGGCTGAAATTATAGAACAGATTGAGCTCGATTTAAAATGTACACACCCAGACATTTAATTTTTTTGCAGCAAATTATTATTGGTTTTGGATTAGGAATCTGAAAAAGATTATAGAATTATCTTAACTTTACAATGGATATTTGTCTTGAAGATGTGAAATATGCTTAAGCTATATTGGTTTCTGAAGCTCCGTTTTATGAACATTGATGGGTACGTTAAATTTCAGGAGGCTGAAATTATAGAACAGATTGAGCGTGATGTAAAGCGTACACATCCAGACATGCAATTTTTTTCAGGAGATTCTTATTTTGCAAAAACTAATCAGGTATTTTCTGGTTTCATTTGTGTCATTGATGTTTACTGGCAATATTTAACTGCTTTATGAATGTCCTTTTCAGGAATCTTTGAAGCGTATTCTCATCGTGTTTGCAAAATTAAATCCGGGTATTAGATATGTGCAAGGGATGAATGAAGTTTTAGCTCCGTTATTCTATGTTTTCAGGAATGATCCTGAAGAGAATAATGTTGTAAGTTGCATTAAGTGCACACTGCTCCTTTTATGGGTTTATCAAGCGTTTTCTTGTTCTTTCTTTTCATATTTTCATTTGAGTTGCATACTACTTTTTACTTGGTCTTAGTTTAAAGCCCTTCCGTGGTACGTATATGTTCATACAGGCTCGAAGAACTCCCAACTCACTTGATTTTATATAGCATTTATTTTGCATTTTACTTTTCACGGGGAATGCACCGTTCCATTGCCAACAGTGTTATGACTACTTGAAATTGGTACTTTTTTATGATAAAGTTCACGTGTCCTGAGTCAAAGGATGGAAGAAACATTTGAGAAGTAGAATTATATGATTTTTGTTTATGTTAGGAGCAATTTAGATATAAATTGTATTCTGTGTAATGGCCTAGATGCAGCCAAAACTAATATTATTGACTTTCTTTTGAAGAACCTAGTTTTGAATTGAATTGGTGGAAACAAATATATGGTACATTACATGAGTTTAGGGTTTATATCTCAAATCTAGTTTTGGATGTGTAGAGTTAGGGAACACACAAACTTTCCTATCCACATGCTCTTAAATTTAGCAATTATTTGTTACTTGTGATGGAAATTTAGAACATTACGAATTTCAATTTATATAAATGATTCAATGGCTCACTTCTAGAAATAATCTGCAGAAATTCATAATCACAAAAGACCGAAGATAATTGAAAATCATGTCTCTAGAAAACTAGTAGTATTAATCATTATTAAAATCAATCATGCATTCAAACTAGTAGTAATCTTTAGAGATAGTAGGTCAAGTGGAAGGTGAAATAATAAAATTCAAAGAATCGAGCCTGAGGGTTGCCCAATGAAAGATATTGTCCTTACAATAACAGCAGCAACAACAACAACAGCAACAACAACAACAACAACAACAAGCCTTTATCCTAGTAAATGGCGTCAGCTACATGAATCTTTTTGCTCCATTGCGTGCTATTGTCGGCCGTTTTATTTTTATTATTTTTTTTTTAAACTTCGTGATTTAAGAAAGTGAATGATTTTGTGATTTTGAAAATAATTTAAATATAAATATAACTTTTTTTGATTTTTTAAATGTAACATTTTAATTTTAAAATAGGTAAGACCAAGAGGGCCTCACATTTTAAATAGTTTAGATGATTGAATATAATACTACAGGTAATACACTTATCCCGACGAATAAATATATCACTTGTAATGGGAATTCAACCACCTAGACTAAAGAATTTGTGACATCTGTTTTAGTCTGCAAAATATTTTATTTGCCGACAAGTTCCCCTACCTAATACGAGGATTAGATAAAATTTATTTTATCTGGGTTCCAGGTTCCCTATAGAGGCAAACCCCTATAGTTAATTACATCTTAAATGATCGAAATCACTTAAGAAAACTCTCGATTAAAATCAGGTGGTTTTGCTTTCAAGATTTCAAAGTTTAGGTTTTCACGATTGGACATGGGGAAAATCAAATGGAAATGACTCAAAATAGGAACAATTATTTAAGGAATCCAAAGGGAAGAAAAGTAAGGGACATCACAGATCCAGGAGAAACCCCGGAGATGTCCCAACTATCCTATTGTTTGGCTTTATGTCTTTGAAATGATGTTTATTTGATATTTCAATCCTGCAAATTATTTAAGATTTAGGACTTATGTTTGCACAACGTCGGACTGTGCAAATAGCCTAAAAGACAGAAGGATTTACACCGTACCGTACGGTAACCTCGGAATCCTAAAACGTTAGGACTTATAATTGTACAACAGAGTTGTACAAAAAGCCTAAAGAGTGATCCTATGAGTTGTTTAAACTAAAGAAAGTGTTAGGTGATGTGAATGTGTTTTGCTGCTGCAGATTCATCTTGAAGTTATCCCTTGCCGCGCTGCCCACGATGTTTGCTCCGAGCCTCTCGTAGTAGCACCTCCTGGTTTAATTTTAGTTTTGAACATGCTCTTAACCACTAGGTTATTCTAAACTAAGGCATAACATATCAAAATAACTAAGCATGCAGTATGAAAGAACAATAACAATGTACTGTATAGTGAAGAGAACAAACAATATAACATGCTGAAAGAAAAGCTTTACGTGCTGCAGAGAGTAGTATAACACGTTATACAGGAAGAACGATAGCAGGTAGAAATAGAACAATTATAACATGCTGTACAGAAAGAACAGTAGCAGGTAGAAACAAAACAATTTTAACATGTTGTACAGAAAGAACAGTAGCAGGTAGAAACAGAAAAATTAAATGCTGAAAAATGTAAAGCAAACCTGTACGCCTGTGAGATCCGATGTTCCTTAAGTATAGCAAGCCTAAATGCATCTCCAAAAGCAAAATCCGGAAGAAAACGTCATCTAGGAAATCCGAGGAAAAGCGGAAAACTCGAGAAAAGACTCGGCAAAAAGGACTCAAGTGAAAGAAAAATCCTCAAAACTCATGGGAAAATCCCGAAAGAAAAGAAGGGTAGCACGAGTGTCTCGTCCCAAAACTTCGATAAAACAGAAAGAAAATTCGGATAAGGGGGACCGCAAGCACTCGTATGGGACTAGGCTCAGCTATATTTATTCTCGAGGGACCACGAAGGCTACTCGGTCACCCGAATGTATAGAACCCGTCACTCGTCTAGAAGTGTGTCTTGAACCTCACTT